AGCCCCCAGGTGCTGGCACAGCCTATGCTCTGGGTGCTCATGACTGCAGCAGCGGTTGATGGCAGAAGCAGCCTGGGTTGCTCCAGTGCTCTGTGCCCTGGTGGGGGCTAGCACCTGCCATGTTCCTGGCAGGGGTGCAGGGACCTAGGCAGGGCCAGGACGGTGGTAGCAGTGACAGGGTTGCTTTTGTATCCCCTGTATACCAGCCCCTAGCAGAAATGCGAGAACAGAGCTGGCCAGTTCCCCTCTGTGCCCTGCCTGGCTGTCCTGGTGTACCCCAGCCACGCTGGCAGCCCCCTCAGCTGCCCAGGGAGCCCGAGCCTGGGGAGAGCGATGGCACCTCCAGCCCCAGGGGGTGAGGGCAGGGCTGTAGGTGCCACCCCAGCAAAGGGGCAGCAGCAGAGCCCAGCGGCTGGGGGAAAGGGCTGGCCATGGCTGCTCTGCCAGGGCCCCCCAAGATTGGCAGCTTGGTGCCAGCAGGGCCCTGTGCAGATCCCAGCATGGCACTGGGGGGTGGTAGGACCAGGCCAGCACTGAGCTGGTGGAAGCTGGATAGTGTCCACCCCAGTGATGGTGTGGGGCTGTGCCTGGGGTGGGCAGGCTCATCCTGGACCGGAGCTGGGGGAGGAGGGGAACCAGGGTGGCAGAGCTGATGCAAGGCAGGAGAGCTGGGCCTGGGCTTGCAGCAGTACTGACAGGCAGTGTGTGCCTTTCCCTGGATGAGCCAGTGGTGTTTGGTGCTGGGGCACAGCACAGAGCTATGGGCAGGCAGTGCTCTCCCTGCAATCCACCAGCATCAGCTGGCAGAGGAGGAGGAGGAGAAGGGTGGGTACAGGGTGAGTGGGGGTGTGACTGCCAGCATCAAAACTGGGGCAGAGAGCACCAAGGTGCAAGGGGTGCAGGCAGGCAACCCCTGCTGCAGGCAGCACAAATTCTTCCCGGTGCCCAGAGGGGCAGGACTGAGTACCGAGGGAAAGGCAGGAGCTGAGCAGGGCCAAGAGCAGTGGTGCCCAGCACTAGCAGGCCCTAGGCGGCATGGGATCTCCATCCTGGCCCCTGCAGTGGGGCAGCCCCCTGGGGCCATGCTGAGGGCTGCATCTCCGCAGGACGCTGGTGGACTGCGTACCCTTGGTGGAGGTGGAAGACATGATGGTCATGGGGAAGAAGCCGGACTCCAAGTGCGTCTTCACCTATGTGCAGTCCCTTTACAACCACCTGCGTCGCCACGAGTTGCGCATGCGGCAGAAAGAGTGCTAGAACCTTCCCTGCCTGCCCCGCTGCCCCTGTCCCGGGAGGACCGTGGCATCGGCGCTGGGGCTGTGTGCTCTGCTGCTGGGGCAGTCCTGTGCCTCTGCCTCAGTGGAGCTCCCTCTGCCCCAGCCAGCTGCAGGCCAACCCCATGGGCAGGATCAGGCGGGTGCTGCCGGGGATGCTCCCCAGCTCCACTCAGCTCCCGTGCTCCAGCATGTTAAGTTATTTGTTCTCTAGGAGCTGCTTATCCTGTGGGCAGCATCCCTGTGTCCCTGAATAGGCCTGGGCGCAGCTGCACCCCCAGACCCGGGGCTAGTGGGGGTTGGGGGCCAAGCAGGGCTGTGCAGCCCAGCCTGGGTCACAGCGCAGCCTGCAGGCAGAGCCTGCCAGTGTTCTCCATGCCCCCCTGTGAGGAAGCCCCTCTGCCCCTCCGCAGGCCCTGCTTGGTGCCTCCTCCCTGGGGATGGCTCCATGGCCCCGTACTGACACCCCGCTTCTCACCATGCACCTGCACCCTGAGGTGCTTCCACACCCGTGGAAGCTGGGGAGTGGGCAGGAAGGTGGGGGGTCCCAGGGGAGTGAGAGGCCCAAGGAGTGAGCCAGGGGGGCAGCCCTCGCTCTCTTCCCCAGCCCAGCTCAAGGCACCACGTGCTCAGCACCACTCACCCTTCCATCACCGTCTACACCTGTGTTGACACATGTACCAACACCAGCCAGACAATAAAGGTTTATCCTATAGGGTGGTGCCTCTGCCTTGGGTTCTTCTCCCCAGCTGCACCGCTGCTTCATGCAACCAGTGCAGCACTTGGGGGAGGGGGGTTGTTGCTGGCAGCCCTGCCTGTTCCTGGACCCCTCTGCCTGCAGGCCCTGCTTACCCGGCCTGTGGAAAGATGTGGGGCACTTGGTGCTCTTCCTGCTCAGGGACGATGCCTGCAGCTGAGGGGTACCATCACCATCCCAGCCTGACCAAGGACTGTTGGGTCACTCTTCCCCTGCTGCTCCCAGGCCTGGTTTGGAGAGAAGACCCCATGCTGCCACCGAGGCTGTGCAGAGCCAGGGCCATAGATGGCACAGCTCACCCCACTCCCAGCCCTGGATGAGGACCTGCTAGGCCAGCACAGCCATGGGGCTTTGGCTTAGCACCACAGCCCCCATGATAGCAGCTCATCCCAAGCTGTGGTGGCCTGCCCATCCACCCATCCATTGCACTAGGGAGCACTGGTGCCAGCACCCAGCACAGAGCAGTGTGGGATGCGCCCTCCCCAACCCACTCCCCTCTTCACCCCTCCCTGGAAAGATGACACAGTGCAGCCAATTGCACCCAAGGGCTTTACTAGAGGTTCAATACAAGACAACCCTGCTGGGGTGTAAAGCCATACCGCCCCCAGGGAGCAGCTCTCCCACCTCTGGGACTCAGCACATCTACCCTCAGCACCTCTGGCTTTCTGCTGAGGGTTTCATCCTGTCCCATGCAGTTAGGATAGAGCTGCCCAGTGCCGGGGGTCAGCTAAACCTCGGGGCAGAGTGAGGGAGCACAAAGAACACTGCTCCTCCCAACCGGCTGGGGATGCAGGGCTGCAGAGGAGGGTAGGCAATGACAGGCACACGGGACCACCGGGATATGCACAGTGCCAAAGTCCCTGCTCAAGGCTGGAGCTGCATAGGACATCCCCAGGGCAGGGGCACCTTCATCCTGCCACAGCACCATCCCCAGCTGCTCTACTGCCCTCATCCCCGTGCACAGGGGATTGGCTGCAGGACCCTCCCCTGAGCGTGGCACCCCTCACTAGAGGTCTGGGTGTTCTTCCTTGTCATGTTTGGGTGGGGTCTTGACATCAGTGGCAGGAGCTTGGTGGGGTGGCAGGGTGGGCAGAGGCCTGGCAGGGGCAAACTGGAACTCCTCAGGCACAGGGGCATTCGGCATCTCCTTGCGGTAGAAGCCCAGCTCCTGTACCAGCTGGTTGATCTCCTCCCGGGTCATGTCGCTCAAGGGGATTCTCTGCACATAGGCAGGGGATGCAGCCTGGTGTCTGCGAGTCACCAACCACCCCAGACCCTGCTGCAGCAGCAGACGCCATGCTGCCCCCTCACCTCCAGTTCCTCGTATCTGTGGCTGAGGAGCACGAGCTCAGGGTCAGCGCCAGCCAGGTGCTTCATCTCCAGATTATGGCTTGGCAGGGTTAAGGAGCAGACAGTACTGAGCAGGCTCATGCACCCCCATCCTATCCTGTCCTCCATCACATCCCGACGCATCCCATCCTACTTCATCTTCCATTGCATCCCATCTTGCTCTGTCCCATCCCAACCCCAACCATCCTGTCCTCTACCCCTCATCCAATCCCATCCCTCAGCCCATCCCATCCCCCACCCCATTCTGTCCTCTGTCCCGTCTCTTCCCATCCTCCATCCCCT